CCCCCCCCCCCCCCCCCGCGCCCTCCGTCGGTCAAGCCAAAAAATAAACAAGAGGGAGAAAAAGGGGAAAAAAGTAGTGCACCTATGAATAGTGGCGATCCAGCAGTGGAAGAAAGAAGAGCTCGAATGTTTATTACTTATTTACACCAACCATGGTGGGGAGTAGTTGGGCGTGGCAGCGTGGACTTACTGTCCCACTTACTCTTCCCCCTCCCCCCCCCCCGTCAGAAAATCTCTGGATCAGCCCCTGTATCATCCTTCTCATAATCATAATCATCATCGTCGTCGTTTCCATCGATCATTTTAATATTTGAAAGCTCAAAAAACTTGAAAGAAATAAAAATCTGAAAATTTGCTACATTATCACTACACCCTCGTATTCGATGTACCACTATTTCTGATCTAATCATTTTCATGAACTACTTTAACATTATCGTAACGGTTGCCATACAGATTGATAGGCCAAGACCTATTATGATTTGATTTGATCATCATTTTTTAATCTTTTAGTCCTATCCCATCATTTTACTCACCAGCATACGGCCAATATGGTTGAGTCTGTAGAGAATACTGTTTCTCCAGACCTGAAGAAAATATAAATAATCATAAAATTTAAGAAGTGAGGAAATAATTATCTATATATAAAGACTATTTTTGCCTACTAGGCCTATGTCTAAAGATATTTAACTTCATCTTTGTTACATTTTTAGTTTTGGTAAAAGAATGCATTTTGGATAAAATTTTGACTGTAGATTATTAGTATTATCGAACAATCATGAACTTACTTGATATGGCTCCCGTTTCTCCATGTACCATTCATTCACAAGTGTCCACTGTTCGCCGCCAGGCGGCCCAGCACGACTGTTGCAGTGCATAAGTCCTGTCATTTCCGTCAGTGTCGACGTGCTTTATAATGATTTCTTAAGAGCAATTATATATCACAGGCCTAGACTGTTGATAGTTTGAGCCGCATGAGTCGACGTTTTCGGTCGTACGTTTGGTTTGTCATAATTCTTTGTTGCCTAGGTATTGGCGCGTTAGAACGCGTTGGTCGCAAAATACGCGGGCGTTAAAATGACGCAACGCACGTGTGTCGTAGCGCTATTACAATCATCACAATATGGCCAAATATATATATATATATAATATTGTGTTAGCCACGCCC